AAAATCACCTATAAACCCACCATTCCATATCCTCCCAGTTACTCTGTATCTCTCCAAACACAGCGTGGTTCTTTTTTTTTTTTTTTTACAGCGTGGTTCTTGCCGGTCATTTTACACTGGGCAGAGTACTGGCACCATTTCATGGCATCCTTTCTCTGGGTTCTTTGTGCCAGATACATTTATGGAGAATCCATTCAGGACCAGGGACTGTCGCTTAAGGCTTGAGCCAGGGCTTGGATCCTATCAGCCGGAATGTAGGTCATTTCTGAGACCTTCCCTTTAGCCCACAGCAAAGTTGAGCATCTGTTCTTACAAGGAAAATGTAGAAAACCCATGAGAAGCAAACAGAGGCCACATGAAATTCTAAAGTGTGACTCACACCATCTGACTTTTCTTGAGCCTGTTGCTCATGACCACTGGGTCATCATTGATTCCAGATTCTCCTTATCCCAGACTCTGACCCCTGCAACCATCTCCATCTTCTGCAAGGGCAGGTGCAGGGCACCCATGGCTTATCATTTTCCTAGGTCAGCACATCCTTGTTATCGCCACTGGAAGTCAAGGCTGAAGTCCGATTTGGTTACACCTGGCTTACTGGCACCATTTACTGGTGTACACAGCAGATTTGATTTATGATAAGTACATCAAAAATGTCACTTTGTGGCTCACAGGTGGGGTGAGGGCTGCCTTTGTTTTGGAGACGGTAGAACTTTCGTCTGTGTTTCTCACATGGGGAGTAAACAAGTTCACAGTCAGACTCCAAAGAAACTACTAACAGAGCCAGTTGAAAATCCTTGCTCATAGGCATTTGGAGGAAACTAGGTCTTTTCCTTTTCTAAGAGAACCTCAAATTTGAGCTTTAGAAAGAAGCAAAATATTTCCAAGGAAATAAAAGCAATCCTTCCTTGCTGGCCACCCCACTCTCCCCATCCTCTCTTCCCCTTTTCTCCCCTCTTCCTTCCTCTTTTCGTTTTTCATCTTCAGTCGCCATCTGGGCTACCATAGGGAAGGAGGGAAGACCCAGGCTAAATCAGCGCTCTGTCCTCCCCAGTGAACTTGGGAAAATTCCCTCTTCAAAAGCTCTTGAAATCATGACCGCCTATCCAGACCCCTATTGTCACCTGGGCTCCCAGGGCTGATAAAGGCCCTGTTTCCAGAGATGGCGAGAGCCCAAGGGAGGAGATTGAAAACCCTGACAACCGCCAGGCTTGTTTCGGGTCATGAGTGCACCACTGGTTGCCCCAATTGTTGAGTCAGCAGTCCCCAGACCACAGAAAGGTCAGGCTTATCTTCGCAAAGTGAAAGTGCTGAATTATACTGAAACTGTAGAGAAAAAAATAAACCAACCCTGCCTCAAGTCTCTAAGTATCCGCTCCGAAAGTCTTGTTTTTATCTGGAATTACAGTAAACTCGTTTCAGAATGGTTGAGGCCTGCGGTATTCTGAGTAATTGGCTCTTCCACTTAATTGCAAGTTACCACACTTCCTATGGTGTCCTTCCTGGGTTCCCTGGCCTTGACCACCCTGGGGGGTCTCCTATGGGCTCCACCCGCCTACAGGCCCTGACTTTCTTTGTTTCTGGGTAGGACCAGAGGTCCCTGGCCAGGGGTATGCCAAAGTGGGCTGGACTTCATTACCAGGATCAAAACATCCCCCAGTGCTGGGCGGGGATGCACCCTGGTGTCCCCAGCCCCAGGAAGAGCTTTGCCTTGTTTGGGGGGAGGGGTAGTCAGGCCTGTCTGTGTTCAGATTCAAACTTGGCCTTGGCCTCTGATTAACTCCAGGACCTCTGGCAAATTATGAGCTTGCCCATGCAGTATGGATGCTAATTCCCCCTCACAAGACTGTTGGGAAGACTGGAGCTCGCATATGGAAAAGCGCGTGGCACACAGTAGGTACTCAATGAGTGCTGGCACCTTTCTTATGCCTTTATTCCTTACATCAAAATCTGATCAATAATCTGACCCAAGTCCCCACCTCCTGGCTCTCTCTAGGATAGTCTTTCCCTGCCCTGTGCCTGTCTCCTCCCTGGAGGGGGAGAATCTGCATTGCTCACCGGCTGCCCCTGCCTGCCCTGCTCTGGGCCACCGGGTAGCAATCAGGCCAACTCCCAATTGCTGGATTATGCTCACTAGTGCCAATCAGTGCCAGTGCTGGTGTCTGCTTGGCCTGAGTATGCATTGTCCTTTGACCATTATGCCTGGGGCCACCAGCCTCCTTCCCCAGCCTGGCCTCTGCAACCAGAGCAGCCCTGAGTCACTACTCCCCAGGCCAGATGAGCCCAGCATGTCACCTTCCTCCCACCAACTCCCCACCCTGGGCTGTAGTTTCCTTCTCTTATGCTCAGACCTCCTCCCATCTCATCATAGGCCTGCTGTGGATATTTAATTTTCTCAAAACTAAAAAAAGACACTTCTGACTTAAGGATATGGAGCCAAACTCTGTGGTCATTTTAAAGGCACCTCAAGACCTCAGAGAAACTTAGATCTGGCTTCCTAAGTAGCAAGCCTTCTGGAAAATGGAGTATACACAACAGTTAGGAGAACGATTCGAATGGTACTGGTCCCAGGACACACCAGGACACTGGGTGACTTTAAGCAAGTCATTTAATTTCTCCTAGCCTCTCCTAGCCTTATCTGAGAAGAGGACAATTCTACATAACTCATGAGATTTCTATGAGGTCTAAAGGTTGTGCTCGTAAAAGGACTTGGTTAATTTTAAAATTTCCTACTATTAGCTTGACATTTCCATTTCCATAAAATCAGGGATGTGGGCTTATTAACTGTTTAGATCCTGAGTGGAGTAAAAAAGAGTAGCTAAAGTCATTCCATTCTAATCCTCTGTGATCTAGCTCCATTAGAGAGGAGTAGCTTCTTGAGCCAGGTACTGCACCTGGTTCATCCGTAGATCTTAGCCAGCACCAGTCTCTTGCCTGGCACTAGTGCAGACCCTCCACGAGTGTTTGCTGCACACATGATTTCCACTGTGCCCACTGCTGGCCACGCCTGATGATTACATCTCTATTTAGGTGCTTCTGGGCATCTCTGAGGGAGAAATCATGGCAGCCTACAGGAGCTACCCAGAGTGTTCCCCTCCCCACCTTCTTACTGTCAACCCCATTCAGATGGGTTGAAGACTGTCCAGCTAAGGCAGAGGAGATCAATAAAACCCCGGAAGCTCCTTGGTACCTCCCGTAACTACTCCTTACAATGACACTGTACTCTAGGCTGATGGGGGCTGAGGCCAAGCAGGAGGGCCAGCAGAGCAGTGGAGAGACCCTTTCTCTCACCAGCCTGAACCTCTACACCTTGACTCCTCCAAATTACTCACTGTGTTCCAGAAGGCCCAGTTAAGCACAGTACGTCTTTCCAAAAGAATGCTTGGTGAAAAGGAGGCCTTCACCCGTTCATTTGTTCAATCATTCATTCTATAGTTTGGCTACCTGCTATGTCCCTGTGACTGGGCTAGATGTTGAAGAGGAAGAGTCTAGGACCTCAAAGAACTTTCAAACTCCAGAGCAACAAACAAGGAAATGGACAATGATAAAACAGTGTGATGAGACCAAGGACAGAAGAAATCACAGACTGTAAGAATGCATGGGAAGCTATAGAAAAATGGCAGAATGTGGCACACAGCTGGAGAGAGTTTGGGAGGGTGGAATTTAACTTCTCGAAGGTTGAGCAGACATGAGGCAGGGAACTCAAGAAAGGGTAGAGGGTAAAAGGTCAGGGGTGCTCTCATGAAAATAAAGGAAAACTCTAGAGTAGAGGAAAGGAGCCGGGGGGAGGGAGGGAGGTAGGGAAATGGGGAACAAAACTGACTGAATTATGTTGTATGCATGTGTGACTATGTGTCCCACTAATATCTGTAATTATAATGTGCCAACAAGAAGGGGTTTTGTTTGTTTGTTTGTTTGTTTGTTTTACAAAAAAAATGACAGAGTGAGAGAGAATATACAGAAGGACAAAGGGAAAAACACAATAGCATTTTCAAGAAAGAAGGGAGGGTTGAGGAAATGCCAATGGAGATCTGGATAAGAGTTTCTCATTCCTGGGATCAGGAGAAGGGATGCTCTTTGGCAGAGATTTGGGGTACCGGAAAGACAAGCAGGAGAGGATGAGAAAACTTTCTATTCTTCACTTTACAGATGGGGAAGCTGAGGTCTGAAGAGGGGAAGTCACACAGCAAGTTATTGGTGAGGACACACCTGGATCGGGTCCCTCTTGACTCACAGGAGTTAGAAAAAGTCAGATTATCACATGGCAGAGAGAGTTCAGGCCCTGGTGAGCAGAATCCACCTTCCCACCAGAGCTGCCTTCTCCAGAGTGCCAAAGATGGTGAAGACAGTCATTGTCCCTGCTAGAGATAGTGAGGTGACTCAGAGAGACCCTTATAAAAACAAAGGACTCCCTTCTATAGGCTGAATGTTTGTGTTCCCCAAATTCACATGTCAAATTCCTAAACCCCCAAGGGACAGTATTAGGAGGTGAGGTCTCTGGGAGGTGAAGTCCTCAGGAATGGCATCCATGTCCTTGTAAAAGGCCCAAGGGCAGTCCATCATCCCTTCCACCATGTGCAGACATAGAGAGAAGGCACAGGCTTTGAGGAAGGGGCCTGGACATCGAATCTGTTAGTGCCTTGATCTTGAACTTCTCAGCATCCATAACTGAGAAATAAATGTATGCCACCTGTAAGACTAAGAGACTTCCTGAATGCTTTCACAAAGCCTACCTCGTGGCCTTTTTCAGGCCTTACAAGTTCAAAGCCCAGGGACGTTCTCTCTTAAATATTACCCTCGAGCTGATTCATGGAATAGCCACGTCCGCTACATTTTAACTTTTCTAATATGGCTTTTACTATCCAAACAGATACACTTTCTTCCTTCCCCTCATAGAGGTAGAAATCAAGATATCACTATTTGCAGAATTTTTCCTGCTTCCTTTCCTTTCTAAGTTGTACCTGTCTTTTTAATTTAAATGAATCAAACACAAGACTAAATCATCCTGGACTCAGTTTTCTTTTTTTTAATTTATAATGATTGTGATTGAATCAAATATAATTTTTAATAAAGATCCATCTTGCAGGACAGACAGCACCGATCTTTCGGGGATTGTTTCTTTTTTTCTCATATGAACAAACAATATCTGAAAATAGCAAAACAGATCATAAAGTTTTCTACATAAAATAGTGCAATTTTTTCCCCCAGATTATTTTATTGTGTTCGAAATCAGGAGTTCAGAGGCCTTAATTTACTTGGCTCAACATTTTGTAAGGGGTAATATATGCATTAATTTTGTTCACTGACCATGTAGCGTCAGTTGTATAACATGTGAGGCCCAGAAAAAAAATGAAAGCATGGGGTCCCCTGTGCAGAATGAAATATTTTCTAGATGACAACAACATTAATCCACCTTCCTAAGCATGAGTCCCTGTGTGACAGCACAGGTCACCTGGCCCTGCATCTACCAAATTATGGGGCAGGCCCTGGGAATGCGATCTGTGCTTATAGAAGAAAGGTGTGAAGGGAACAATCACTGTGAAGGTTGATGCAGACCTAAGATAAGTCCTGGGTTATCTAGGAGCTCCCTTATCTCAGAGGTCAGCACACACCTCCCTAAGGAAATGGTGTGGACACTGAAGACCAAAGAATGACCCGGCTTCAGCCAGCCAAGAGTAGGAGGAAAGGTGCTCTAGACCAGAGGGGCAGTATGTAGAAGAGACTGGAGAAGACTGGAGTGTGGTGGGTCAGAGGAATCACAGGGAGTGCAGTGTGGACATGTTGGGGAAGATGGAGAGGGAGATGAGGACCCACCTGGAAGGGAGGTTGGATTTTATCAGAAAGACAGTGAGAAGCTCTTAATGGGCTTCCTGGCCCACTCCCAGCTGCACGATAATCCAGGAAAGAAACCAACAGAGCAGTCAGTGGAAGAAAATCAAGTTACCCTTTCTGTGGTTCCTGGTGAAAAATACGGAAAAAACAGGAAGTTAGCCTGCAGAGTGGCTTTGGCAGCAAGTCCTGGTTTGACAAGTTCTTCAGCCTTCACTCTGGGCATGGACCTGACCACTTGGGAGCTGGTGGTTGGAAGAGTCGGGGAGGGAGATCCTTGCTCTTCTGCTGCCAGAGATTATCAGAGGGAAATGAGCTCCAGCACCCTTGGTTTGTCCCTCAACCACAGCACACATGTACTCAGTCCACAAGTGATCTGTGTGCCCTGTGAAAGCACCCAGGGCTACTCTGCACCCATTGTGCCACTTGGCAATCATGCATTTATGGGTGGCTTTCCCTATCCCACTATGAGCTACTTGAAAATCAGAAGTAGGTCTTACTCATTGCTGAATTCTTGTTCCTCCCAAGGTAAAGAATATGCTGTGGTTTGACTGTGTCCCCCCACCCCCAAGTTCATGCATTGTGTATGTTGATGGTATTTGGAGATGGAGCTTTGGGGCGGTAATAGGGTTAGATGAGGTCATGAGAAGGGGCCTCCATGATGGGACTAGTAGCTTCCTAAGAAGAGGAGACTTGAGCTTGCATGCTCTTTTGATCTTGTCACGTGATGCCCTCTGCCACATTTTGATGCTGAAAGAAGGCCCTCACCAGATGTGGCCTTGGACTCCCAGCCTTCAGAACTCTGAGAAATAAACTTCAGTTCTTTTAAAATTTCCCAATCCATGGGTATTCTATTGTAGCAGCAGAAAACTAAGATACTACAAATGTATTGCTAAATGTAATTAAATTATGTTAAATAAGGCTGTACCCATCTTATACATTCAGTCATTTTGGGAGGGTTTGATTTATATTAAACGTATATAATTTCTGTAAGAAAAAAAAAGTCTGAGTTCTATGCCATTGGCTTTGAAATATGTCTTTGAATTCCCAATATTTTCTAATTTGGAACCTACACAGAAATGATCAAGGCATATGTCCTTTTGATTGTAATGTCCTTTGCATGCAGGACAAGCTGTTTCCAACTTGCATCTCTCATGGGGCATGATATATAGTAAGTGGTTTGTTATGCAATGAATGTGTAGATCACACACATACGTACACACCAACTCCTGAGTATTTTTGATACTATTAAAGGACTTTCCAATTAGAGATTTAAGTAGTTTGTTGACATGTACGATAGAAGTATAAACAGAGATGCATACCACAGTACATATACTATATATCAAACGTATGTCAATGTGTGATTATGCATTAAAAATCATAAAGGTGGATGATGATGATGATGATATTGACTATTTATTGAGAGCATTTGTCCTTGCAATGATTAATAGAACACTCTATGAAGTAGGAAATGGCATAAAATGCTACCTATCTTCCAACTTTAAAAAGAAATGTGAAATGATTTAGATAAAATACTGTAACTGTATAATCAATTCAGAGAGGAAATGTTCCAGAATAAGTGATTTTCAAGAAGTATGATTTTATGACCTGACATCTGAAAAATAATTGAACAATGGAAGAATCGCCCTCCTCCAGAGTATTATTAACCAGCCAATGGGAGGTGTTCAGTGAACCACTGGTAACTGGAGAGGAAACCAGAGAAAGAGGGGGCGGGGCTTCTGAGGAACTGACCGAGCTGGGATTTTCTGAGCTGGGTTGCAGTTTCACTTAGGTATGTTCAAAGGCATCTCTAGCAGTTAATAAAACGGATGCAATTTTCCTTCTAGCCCTTGAGTGTCTAGAACACAAATCCTCCTCTTGTCACTGACCAGCTTCTCCGTCCCCTGGAATCCCTTCTGCCTCTCCTCCTTCATCCCTGAGATCCACCAGAGGACCCCAGACTCTGCTGACCATCTGACAATTTGCCTCTGTCCCTACAATAACTTAAATCAAACGAATAATTTCTTTAAGGTGGAAGGGACCTTGGAGCTTATCCAACAAAAGAGACCGAGCGACTCAGTGGGACGTCCCCAAGATCATAGAGCTATTTTAGTCACACGAGCAGAGCTAGTACCTTGCTCTCCAGTCTGACACCTCCTCCACCGCTTCCCTGTTCTAGCCCAGGAGCAGCAAGGCCAATCGGTTTCCTAAAGAGTTTTCCAAATCTTTATGTATTGGTTTTGGACTCTAGACTGCTCTGAAAAATAACTTGAAAATCCACTCAGTGTCTCAATTTTCCTTCTGGAAGTTAATTTTAATGCTTCCTGGTCTTGACTAATCCTTATCCACCAGTGTACATAACCTCTGTGTGGGTAGAATCTACATGCTTGCTGCTTCTTGGGCTATTTTCTATTTTAATTGAACAGTCACCCGTTTTCCCAGCTTCCCAGAGCAGTGCTGTCCAGTAGAATTTTCTGTGCTAATAAAAATGCTCATTACCTGCACTGTGACAAGAGCCACCAGCCACATGTGCCTCTGGAGCACTAGAAGTGAGGCTGGTTTAATGTGCAGAATGGAACTTTTTATCTTATTTTAATTCATTAAAAACAAATTTAAATAGCCACTTGCAGCTAGCGACTACTGTGTTCGGCCAACACATTGATGGAGTCTTCATTGCCTTCCTGCCCGTGGATGGATAAGATGATACTGACATCTCCATTTGTTTTATTGTTTCTTTGTCTTTGGACATTCAACTTGCTCTAAGACTTTGCTATTATAGCAAATACTGTTTTATGTAAAGACATATTCACTGTCATAAAAATTGTTGCTTGTGTGGTGTTTTTTTTTTTTTTATTTTGATCTATTTACTTCTTGCAAATGAAATTACTACTTGGTAGAGTTGTGAGATATTCCTCAAAATCTTCAAGGAAATCCCCACCCATTATCCTCCCATGAAAAACCCTTAGGAGCAAGAATTCTAGAAACTTCCACTGCTAAGTCCTCTGCTGGGCCACTCTACCCTTTTCCTCTTTCTCTGCTCTGTCACCCTCCCCAACTCATGCCTTAGGGCTCCTTACCCCACTCCAGCCTTTATCATTTTATTGTCCTAAGAAACAAAGATGGAAGTCATTTTGGTTTAAAGGATTTCCTACTAATCCACACAAAGTATAAAGTTCAGGAATGTTTTGAAAGTTAAGCATTTGGGCACATTGCACAGCTCTGGTCCTAATTCCCCACTCCTGGTTGGGGCATTAGAGGGGCTGCCTATACTGTGCTTGGAATAGGGGGTGCTGGTGGCCTTTGATCCCCTGAGCAAACTTGGCTCACTATGGAGCTTGGTTTTCCAACCTCCCAGCCTCATGTATCACAATCATCTCCACAGAGGACCCTCAAAAGATGTTGCAGAGGGAACATAAACCCCACCCCACCAATTAGAAAAGACAAACAGATCACTCCCCAGGCCTCTGTGACAGGGAATGCTGCAAGAGATGAGCAATCCCACCCAGATACTCAGATAGGACAATGTCAAAAATGGAGACAGCTCTAGGGGCTGGGGTTGTGGCTCGGTGGAAGAGCGCTTGCCTAGCATGTGTGAAACATTGAGTTCGATTCTCAGCACCACATAAACAAAATAGAGTTATTGTGTCCAGCTACAACTAAAAAAAAAAAATTAATGGAGATAGCTCTAAAGGAAAGAATGTGGAAGTCTAAAATCAAGCAATGCTTTACCAGAAAAGGAAGAATGGGGACAATAAGGAAATTAATTGATCACTAGATCATAGGAGGTCATTAAGCTATAAAGATTTTTTAAAACTGGAGTAAGCACAGTTATGATTAAAGAGTACATTCTTGCAAAAAGCAAGAACCAAATAGCTTGCTACAGCTATTGGTTCATGGATGCAATAATTAGAGCTGAGCAAAGGTCAGGATTATTTCAGGATTATTGTCCCCGTAGGGAACAATCATGTGGGCAGTCAGACTGAGTTAGCCCATGGAAGAGAGCAGAGCATATAGAATGAGAACCCTGATCAAGCCAAACCTGAAATCTGTGTATCTCTGGAATTTTAATGTATCATGAACTTCTGCTCTGTGGCTGAGGTTCAGAGTCCTGTGGCATTCCCACTGTGAGGCTCCTGGATGGTGAGCTATTCCTGAGACATCTAATCTTGCAGAGATGAATGTTTGGCAGAAAATTTCCTCTTTCAGAACCTGTGGAAATTAAGCATTAATTGTTATGTATAATAACAATATAGCGGGAACAGGAAGGGAGGGTCCTGGAAAACTCAGTTGTCATCTACCCCTTGATCAAGTCATTTGAACTTTGTTGGCCGTCAGCTTCCTTATTTATGAAATGAGGATGTTAGCAAAGATAAGTGGTTTTTAAACTTCATTTTTGACAAATAAGTGTTTCTAAACTTAGTTCAATAACATGAAACATCCCCATCTTTTTCTCCTGGATTCATTTGTTCTGAGAGTAACAAGCTCAGAAGAGGACTAGTAAAAGTGGAGATGTCCTGGTTGAGGGGTGTGTGTGTGTGTGTGGCTAGAATGAGAACCCTGATCAAGCCAAACCTGAAATCTGTATATCTCTTCACACACAGCCTCCCTATATCTTCCCAAGGTAGCCCCAGAAGAACTCCAAAGAAGTCTGAGGCATCTGAAAACAGGCTGAGATTCTGGGCTAGAAGTTCCCTTCAAACATGGGTGGTAGGAAGAGTTCAAACTGGGTGTAAGGTCCTTCTTTCAAATTGTTCTCAGTCATCCAGGGTGAGGGAGTGGGCATCTCCCACTCCCCTGGAACTTTTAAGCTATATTATTCAATACATGTCTAAAAAAAAAAATAGTTAAAGCATATTTAACTGCAAAAGCACTAATCTGCCTTAGTCATCAGAAAATGTAGAATCAAACACCTCTCTCAAAAAGAACATTTTAAAAATTAAGTACAGCTCTGGATCAAACCCCAATCCAATATTCCTATGTTCTGATACATAGCAAGAGTCACACCATTTGGGAACCGATGCCGACCACCCCCCATGTCATGGGGAGCCCAGCACTGTCCAGATGCTTCACTCCTCAGCAGGAGGCCCGAGTCATCCCCCATCAGTTGTCTTCCTGCAAGGCGGCTATGTTCCTCCAAGTCCCCTCTTCGCACATTTCAGGCATGAAGGTGAAAGAAGAGTGAAGAGTCCCCCCTCAGTGCTCTCCTCTAGAAAGGATCCACTTTCCAGATTGAGAACAGCACCCTCCCCAGAACTTCTGGCTGCATTCCAGTCTCCCAAGTCAAAAATAGCATATGGCCACCTCTCAGTGAAAGGCAGCCAGGGAGAGGGGTGGCCCCAGGATATTCAGCCATAGAAATGGCCCCAGAGTGGATAAAATGAAGGCCAAGGAGAGCGATTTTACCCTAGGAGAGTCTTTGCCTCCATCAGAGGAGCCAGAAGCTAGTGAAGGAAAGAAGCAGAGGGACGGGAAACCCAGTCTCTTTGCAGATCATGGGGAGTTCACACCTCTGTTCTTGAGCCAGTCTTTGTTGGTGGCAGGTGACTGATGGGTGAGGAATGGGCTGATCCCATGTCACCTTCCATGGGGAGGCACTTCTCCTCGGTATAACCTCAGACTCCCCCTAGGAAGGTCAGGCAAATCTCTCATCCCCTTCTTCCCCCATTCTCATCTGCTCCACCCATAGGTTTTAGCAGGTAGCGCCATACTGACCCTCTGCTATGCCCTAATTCATATGCTGAACTTCAGTGTGAAGATGTTAAGAGGCTTTGTGAGGTGATTTGGTCATGAGGGTGCAGCCCCCATAATTGGATTTGTGCCCTTATAAGAGTCCCCAAAGACCTCTCTCACCCTCTTTCCACCTTGTGAGGACACATTAAGAACTCTGCTGTCTGCAACTCAGAAGAGCCCGCACTGGAAACTCACCCTGTTGTCCCCCTGATCTTGAACTTCTAACTTCCCTGGGAGACTTTGTGATAGCAGACTGGACTAAGACACCAGCCTATGGTCATCAGTGCTGCCCGAGACTAGGAAGGCGAGCTCGGGAGTCCAGTATCAGGAAGCCCACACAGGCCCACACCCATGCCACACCCTTACCCAGCAACAAGGAGGAGCTCTTCCTCATCTGCCTACTCCTTTATCTTATGCATGAACTGGTTCTGGACTCAGGCAGTGAACAGAGGTGTTATTTGCTGGAACTCTCCTCTGCATAGCCAACCAGTGCCCAGACTACGGTAGAGCTTAGTAAATACTTTGTCAAATTTGAAAATGCCTAACCATTCTTCCAGGACTTCTGTGATCATGTAAATTTATATTCCCAAGAGATGAGAAGCAAAGCAGATGGCAGGCATGTAGAACCTTTAACAAGCAAACAAGAATACAGAATTATACAAGTATCAGTTCCTAATGAGATGACCAGTACCCGGAGTTTTTTTGTTTTTGTTTTTTTTATTGAGTGAATAGCTGTCCACAATTATACACTCCAATTTAAACATTTGGCCCAGCATAAAGGAGAGAAGTCAGCAGCTTTTCTCTGGTAGCTACTAGTCAAAATGGTTAAGCAGGCAAAAATAATTACCAAGAGATCATAAAAGTAGGTCTGTCAGAATATTCCTCAATAGCAGAACCCCCTTCTCATGTTAGTATTAAAAGGCAGGACTGACTCATGCGTAGCAGACAGTGATAATGTCAAGCTTTTGTTTTATGTTATGTCAGATCTAGGGCATCAATTTAGCTCATGAAAATGCCTAAGTGTACACTAATGAGCACCATTTTAATAAGATACTTCTGAGTTGATTTTGGAAAACAATTATAAGAATATTATTGGATGCAGAAATATAAAATTCTGATACTCACACAAAGTATAGAAAAGTAGCTAAAAGTTGTCACAGCCCCATACTTTGACAGAAACTGCTATTAGTCCACCCCCCTCATATTTATTTTCTACTCTTCCTGAAGTTTTAGCTGAGCACACAGTTGCCCAGAATCAAGACTACATTCTGCCTTGAAGCTAGATGTGACCTGTGACTAAACCAAAGGCATGAAGTAGAACTGATGTGTGGAATTGTTTTGTAGAATGCAAATGTGATGACTGGTGCTCCAACAGCTAGGTTGAGCCACAAGGTGGCTTTGGGATAGAAGGCACAAATTGGCAGAGCAACAGGATGCCAGCACCCTGAGTCCCTAACATCATCAAATGCTATACCAGCTGCAGGCTGGTTCTCTACAGACACTTCAAACACAAGGGAAATAGATGAACGAATCCAACATCAGATTGAGTTTTTCTGTTATATATGTAACAGGATCCGATGCAAGTTACAGAATTTCAGAGATCGGCCCAGAAACATAAGGGTAAGCTTCCCAAGAACTGAGTGTCCTGATTCTCCAGCTCTTTCCTCACCAACTTCCTTCTCCCAACTTAATCTCTCCACATCTTAGGTACTTTATTTAAAAAAAAAAAAAATACAGAAAATAAAACACATACTCTTATGCTGGAATTAAACATAATAATGCAACTGAAGCACTCAATACAAGGTCTGTCCAGGTAAAGGTTATGTAATGTAAGACTCTTAGAGTTGATACTAGTGGCGATGTGTACCTGTGACTACTGTCATCGGCCAAAGGGAGTGCACTTTCATCCCTATCAGGCACATTTCATGAAAACTTCTCTGTTGGATCATCATTTTTTAAAGCATTAGTGACTTCTGCATTTGTCCTAAAGCATCTTAAATGGAATCTATGGGTCAGTTAAAATATTGACGAAACAGCTACAATGTCCGCAACAATAACAGCATCGACATTCTTTTTCTAATATTTAATGGATGTTAAGGAGCTTTGGACATCGCTAGAGGTTTAAGTACTTGTCTATCCTGACTAGTGGCTAAGGCCCATGCACTTTTTGCTATAAATTCTTTGAGCAATTCCACCCGAATCACCTGGGTAGGGCCTCCACTGGCCTGGTTATGGGGAAATGATGGAACTTAAAAAACATAAAAGGTTAAATGAAAGCCCATGTAGACTGTTACCATAGGTTTTCAGATTGATAAGGGCAGAAAATTAAGGTGGTAGATGAAAGGAAGCATTGCTCCAGGGAGGAGAAGACCTGTCACTGCCAAGCTAAATGCCACAGTGTGGGTTTTGCGATCTCCTGGGCATTCTCTGCACACGACAGAGAGACAACCCCAGATTAGGAGCATTGGTGAGGCTCAGAACCAACTGTAAACATTAGCTGGACCAAGCAAGAGAAACAAAGACACCAGTTCAGGAGCCAAATTTGCAAGTACAGGTAGAATATTTAATTTAAAATACATGAAAAAGAAAGCTCAGTAATGTACCATTATTCCTATTTATAGTCTACTTCAATAATAATAAATTAAATAGCAATGCTCTAAAGGTATTCACAATGAAGAAATTCCAAATAAAATTGGGTCAATCACCAAGTTCAGTTCCAGTTCTTGGACAAATATTTCTCACTTTTCAGGCATGAAGTCCAAGGTGGGAAAATATACAATCACATCAAGCATAGCAGTTGTCCGGACTTTTACGAGAAGAGATGAATTTTAAGGCAGTTGTAGTGGCTTGTCCTGACTCCGTGAGAAAGAATGCTGTAATCAACTAGTGATGTCTTTATCCAGCAGAAGGATGATGGCTCTGTGTGCTGACTGTACTTTGTTGTCACAGCCCCACACTATACAGAAGGTCCTACCAGCTCACATGCCCCAGGTATCACAGCTGAGCATCTGCCTCCCTCTCCTCGGCCTCGTCACTCCTGTCTCTCTAGAATGGAGAGAATAATCATCATTTGCAGGTGATACAAACCCAAGTCACACTAGTTGAAGCAGAAAAAGGAGAAACTATTGGCTCCCTTGACTGTGAGGTCCAGGGGTGGTATGATGTCCAGCACAGTAAGATTCGGAAGTTCATCATGCTTTCAGGAATCTGTTCTTCTCTCTTCCTTTCTTCACCTCTTAGACACACTTGGTATAAAGAAGGCAAGATGACCACCAGCAACACTAGCCTCATGTACTCCCACCTCAGTAATCAGAATAGAAGGTACAGATCTTTTTCTGATAGCCCCAGTGGGGACCAGGGGAGAAGCCCAGGCAGAATTTTCAATGCCCCTGATTCAGTTACCTGGATGTATTAAAACTGATCTGGTTGCCTACTTTTGGCTACAGTGTCCACCCAGGTGATGGGAAGGGGGAAGCCAGAATCAGCCCCATCCGACTGCCGTTGCACATGGAATGCATTCTCCACAGGACAGAGGGGTCTGGTTCCAGAAGGGACTGGGAACCAGTCTACCCACATCCCAATCAGTTCTACTGAATGTTCTCATTAGCATCCAACATGGTGTCCCAACTCCCTAAGCAAGTATCTCAGACCCTCTGCACCCTTAACTCTCCCTGCTTCTCCCTGCCTGCCCTGGCTGCTCATCTCCGAGAGAACACAGACGCCTCTTGTCAGACTTCGCTCTCAGAAGGCCATCTTTGTACCACCTCCCAAGCCACAGGTAAGTCCCACCTGCTGCTCTGCCTTCCTCCCAGGGACCTCATTTGAATTTTAAGGTAGAGGAAGACCCACCCTCCATGCCAGAGGAAGGGAGAAAACATCAAGGAGCCACAAAAACTTGGACTTGGGAGCCAGATGCCCTTGGGTTCAAATCCTAGTCCTTCCGCGTTTTACTTCTATGACCTGGACAAATTATTTAACATCTGTGATCATGAATTTCCTCATCCATAAAGTAGGCTGAACTAGCCTACCAGTCAGGCATGGTAGCTGGGCACAGTGGCTCACACCTGTAATCCCAGCAACTTGGGAGGCTGAGGCAGGAGGGTCACCTGTTCAAGGCCATCCTGGGCAATATAGAGAGACCTGTTTCAAAATATAATAAAAAGGGCTAAAGATCTAACTCAGTGGTTGAGAGTCCCTGGATCTAGTCCCCAGTACCAAAAAAGGAAAAAAAAAATTAACTAACTAATGTAGGGATACAGTACTCCAAGTGTCAGCTCAGCCTTCTGGTTTTATCTCTCCTTTTAATATTAAAAGAAAAAAATTATACAAGGTTCTCATTTGTTTAAAAAAAATTCATTTATACATTATTTTTTCCCTCTTTCTCTAGACTCTTTATGCTGTTTGAACTTCTTTTTTTTTAAATCTTTTTTAGTACTGGGGATTGAACCCAGGGGTGCTCTACCACTGAGCTCTTTTATTCTTTATTTTGAGACAGTACTTCACCAACCTGCCCAGGCTGGCCTCGAGCTTGTGATCCTCCTGCCTCAGCCTCCCAAGTTGCTGGGATTACGGTTGAGCACCACCACACCCAGCTCTGTTTGAACTCTTTACTGTATGTGTTACCTTTAAAAGAAAAAGAAACAAAGGTCAATGTTATTCTCTAGCTGGTGCCCACCCTTCATCCCGTGCACTGCAGCTTAAGGTACAACAGAAGTCCTTATCTTCACGGACCTTCAAGAACATGTTCTGGTCAACACCTGTGCAGATTTCCCACTTCTGCGGAGTCCTCAGGCACTTCCTGCTCCTCTCTTAACCCTGGTCACCTGAAACATGTCCTGCCACCTCCTTCTTCTTTAATTCCCCTTCCTTGTGCTTCCTCTGAGTTGCATGTTGCAGAATCCACAGAGGTAATACCTGGGGTATCTTCATCTACTTTCTGCTGCTATAACAAATACCATAGACTGGGTGGTTTATAAAGCACAGAAGTTTATTTGGCCCATGGTTCTGGAGACTGGAAAGTATAAGAGCAAAGCACTGGCACTGAGGAAGGGCCTTGGTGCCATGGTGCAATGAGTCACGTGGTGAGAGACCAAGAGCAAGAGAGCAAGGTGTGGGAGAGGAGAGAGCGCTAGGGACTAGAGTAAGCAGGAGGGAGGGGAAGGAGGCTGGACCTTGCCCACTGCCTTGGCACCTAACTCACTCCTGTGATACTGGCATTCATGTACACATGAGCAGGTGACGTGCGACAGTCACCTTAAAGGCCCTGCCTCTCAATACTGTTGCATTGGGCATTGTTTCCAATCGTGAACCTGGGGGAGGGG